ACCATATAGTAGGTATTTTCCTGTCCCACATGGAGTTAGTTCTAAGCATGAAGAGGAGCCAGGAACTGGACACACTGCAAACTAAAGAGCTTAGGTCCTGCAGAGAAATAATTGTTCTTGGCTTTAGAGTGTGGTGCTACAGGAAGGGTACACTCCTAGGAACTGCTCACACTCTAAAGCAAGAACAATCTTGGTGAGGACGTATGAGAGAGAAGCATGTGAACAGCCAGCATTCTGAGGTGGTTTAAAGAGGTCAGGAGGGTTGGCCTCTCTAACAGGCTTCAAGGTGCTTTTGTGAGAATCATGGGCTTCAGGATGGAAAGGGACCTTGAGAGGAAGTTTGACTCATCTCTCTGACCCCAATGCATGGTGACCCTGTCTGATGGCATGCTACATAAGGCATTTGACTGCTAACCAGAAGGTTGGCAGTTCAAACCCACCAGCCCTCCTTGGAAGGAAGGTTGGGCAATCTACTTCCATAGCGATACCGCCTCAGAAACCCAAGAAGGGGTCGCTATGAGTCAGATCTGACTCGACGGCAGTAAGTGAGAAAAAAATTTCTCCAAATTATTTTTTATATATGACTTTCAATAATCAACCTTCCTTGGAAATTTCCCGCTGTCTCTACCTACATCCCACATCTCTGTTCTGTGTTTGGTAGAATGGTGGTGATCTTCTGTAAAACAGAGAGATGAGACTGAGCTGAGAGATTGTAGATTCTTGGTCTCGTGGTTAGGGGGTCGTACTCCAAAGCATCTCATTGCTTCTCTGCTTGCTTCTCAGGTCATGGAGTGAGAGGTCCCTGGGGGTTGATAATTAACTCAAAGTGACCGGCTGACTTCTTTTTATTGCAGTTTCACTTTTCAACTGATGTTAACTTTTTTTTAGAAACATTTGTAACCCTGACTTCATTTTTAAATTCAGATGACAGAAAAAGTAAATGGTGTACTTTTGCACCACATTGTTAAGATAGAAGGAACTAGAAGTGAGTACAGACCCCAGGTCTTAGCATCAAGTCTTATACTTTTATGTCTTGACCTTCCTCCTAGCCAAGGATTCTGGTCTACATATTCCCATATTTCACATTGCTTTTACAGGAGAAATCCAAGCCCCTCCAGTATATAAATTTCTTGGTGACATTTTAATTAGAAATAGATCCATCATGTTTATTTTAAAAAGGCATCTCTGCTGATGGGAAGAATTACTACAAACATAATTTCATGACAAAGGAGAAGTTACCCTATCTCTCCTTGACTGTGGCTTTCTGAGGTCAGTCATCTTAGACATTTTCCAAGCTCCCCAAGCCCCTCATTCATCTCTGAGCCTCTGGCATTACAGTAATTACACGAGATGGCAGAGGAATTGTTACCAGATCATATCTTAGAAATAGGGAAATTATGAGCTAATTTCAGTCTATCTCAAATTAATGAAAATGTTCTTTGTGGAGTACTACCAATGTAAACCTTTAAAAAATGACAAGTGGGAGCTATTTAAATCCTTTATCTGTGGAGCTTGGTACAGGCTCTGCCAGTGCACCCAAGAGCTATTATCTGGCCAACTGGTAGGGTGGTCCTTTATCTTCCTTCTAGGTTTGATTAATTAAATTTCCTCTGGAGCATTGTTGTCTTCAGGAACATCTCTTAGGGGGATGGCAGGGGAAGAGAATAAGGTTCTGGGTGACTAGACTGAGTCTATAGCACCATCATCTGGGCTTGGAGGGTCCCATGCTAGTATAACAACCGCCAGGCACAGTGCCTCCCCTCTACCCGGTCTGCACTGCGCAGGGCTGGCTGCCTGTATCCCATCTTGGACTATGCTTCTTTGATCTTGTTTTCTTAACCTAGAATTATTTCTCCCACGTGCACATGACCAAAACCTGTGCTTTAATCTGGTTGTCTCTAAGCAGTTGACTCCTTTGATCTCAATGAGTTTCCCATTTTTCCATGTTTTATACAGGGCAGAACCAGGGAGGAGGAAAAGTCTGATGTTGTCTGGACACTGACTTGGCCCCATTGAGTGTCTGGTGTATCCATTTGTACTGGTCCCTCTTCATCAGGACATTTCTTTTCACCACTGCCATTTTCAGCTGCCACCAGGAGCAGCTCCAATGTTTGTATTGGAGGGTGGTTATTACATTCTATTTAGACCTCATGTTTAATAATGTAGAGGGTCAAAAAATTAAGGAACCCTCAATGAGATGATTTGACACAGTAGCTGCAACAATGGACTCAAACATTGATCATGAAGATGGCATGGGACCAGTATTGTTACATGTGAGGTTTCCATGAGTTAGAGCCAGTTTGACAGCAACTAACAATCTGTTTGGAAGGGCTTGCATGGCACTTTATATAAGACTGAGAAACTTCAGTTGTCTGTATTGAAGACTGAGAGGGAGGGGTGGAGATGTGGAGGTTGTAGAGAAGGCTGAAGCATGTACCCTCGGCCTTATGCCAATATTGCCCCTGCTTCTCTCCCACTCTCCATGTGCTCAAATACCACTTCTTCTGGAAAGTGACCCCTTTTGTCCACAACCCTTACCTTAATTATCTCTTCCTCTGGTAGCGTAGTGGATAAGGTATTTGGCTGCTAACCAAACTCACCAGCTGCTCAGTGGAAGGAAGATGGGGTGGCCTACTTCCATAAAGATTTACAGCCTTGGAAACCCAATGGGGGTCGCAATGAGTCAGATTCAACTCGATGGCAGTAAGTTGGGTTTTGGTCCTCCTTTATAAAACTTTTATTCCTGACTGAATTAAGAGTGTGGAGTCAGGAATCAGGCTCCTTGAATTCTAATCTTGGCTCCTCTTCCTATTGGCTCTCAAACCTTTGGCACATTATTTAATCTCCCTATATCTCAATGTCTTCAACTGTAAAATGGGATTAGTAATAGACCCTAACTCTTGAGGTTGTGGTGAGCATTAAATGAGTGAAAGCTCATAAAGCACTTGTGGCTGAATACTCTGCAGCACTCATTAACAGGGCCACTGCCACCTATTCAGCCATTGTGTCATGAGACAAAGGCACCTCCTCCTCCTGGGTTCCTGCTGCTTCTCACCCCTTTAGCCTCATGCCATTGCTTACACACACAGCAGCCCCATTCACTTCTGGCTAAAGCTGTTGATGCTGTTGTAATGTTCCCAGATTGGTGAGGAACACCACATACCTCCAGTTACTCAAATGAATCTTCTCTGCACACTGTTGGTCATTTGAAGCCTTCTCACTTCCACCTTCCTTAATGTCTTTAGAATTTTCCATTTTTGACCCCCTATTGGCTCAAGCCAGGCCATGTCTAGATCTTGCCTGGGTTACCAGTACCAATTGTTATCTAGACAATTCTGTCTCATAACTGTCTAACTCAACTTCCTGCCTTCAGTCTTACATACCTTATGCTATTTCCTAATTTAAATCCTTCAAATGCTTCATGTTATCCCCTAGCAAACCCCTTAGCATCGTCCCAAGGCCTGTGGTGTAGACTCTCTGCCTCCCTCTGCTGTACTAAGTCTCACATGTCTCATGTCCCTGTTTCACCTCCTCCTCACAGTGCCCCAGCTGTGTTACAGAAATTTGAGTTGAGAGTGAACGACAGTGTTGGTATTCTAAAGTATAAAAAACACAACCAGTCAATTGGTAAAGTTAAAGCCCAACAAATAATTGACCAAAAATTACAACTAACAAAGTACAGAGCTGCAATAGACACAGAAAAATGCTGAACTTACTAATGATCAAAGACATTAAAGCAAAAACAAAAACATTTTATATGCTAATTAATCAAAGATTTTTTAAAGTTAATACACAGTGTTGACCAAAGAGCTGCGTTACGTTAATACACCCAGGGAAGCATGAGGGGGTTCACTTGAACAGAGGACGTGAGAGCTTTTGGGATGATAGAAATGTTCTGTATCTGCATTGCGATGGTAGAAATATATGGTATAAAATTTGGCTAAAACGCACTGAATAGACACTTAAAATTGGTGCATTTTATCATATGTGAATTCTAACTCAGTAAATATATTTAAACAAAACAAAACAAAACACAGTATTGGCCAGCATTAGGCAAACAAGATGCTTTCCTATATTGGGAGGCTGGGGTAGGGTTGGGGGTTGATAACATAAATTGGCTCCACCTTTCTGGCCATTAATTTTGCTTCTGTATTTTCAGAAACCATGTTCTTTAACGTGGTAATTCTCCTTCAAGGGCAGCATCCTACGGAAAGAATCATGAAATCAAAAATTTACCTATAAAAATATGTGGCACAACATTGTTAACAGCAGTGAAAAACTGGACAAGAACTAAAATGTCTTCTAATAGGGCATTGGTTAAGTTATGGTACATCCATCTACATGGGGACCACGGCCAGCCTACGAGGACCCTTCATGTGAATCAGAGAAAGTTTTCCCCTCAGGTGGAGTGGCCCCCTCCAGGGCTTGCCAGGGGAACACCAACTGCACTTCAGACCCCACTTGTCCCCACACCTGGGCATCTTGCATGGTACCTACTTCTCTAAGCAACAGCCCTCATCCATACAATGGCTGATGAGGCAAACATTGAAACTAATTCCTTTGGTTAAAAATGATGAGGAGGAAATGCTTTCAGTGGAAAATTAAATGATAAAAACAGAGGGTAGAATTTTACATATAATTCTAATTTTGTTCAGAAATGTGAAATGACTGAAAGGAAGCCTACCAAAATATAACTGGGGGTAATATGTGTGATAGAATCATTGGTGACTGTAAACTTTTCTATCATTAGTTCTTTTCCCTAATTATAAACATAGATGCAGATCTTAATTTCCCAGTGGAGTAGGGTTTTCCATAGTGCTAATACCAGCAATGGTGGTCTCTTTGAGCATAAGAACAGAAAATGGGAATTCCATGCTGGCATTGAAGATGGAATTGGCTGAGAGTGTAGGGTAAGGGCCGTTTTGTGGAAGTCCCATTGATTCCCACATAAAAGAAGATAGCTTTCTTAACCTTTGTCCTCTCCTCTTTCTATTCTTCAGGTTTGAGACATTTGAGGTAAACAGCTTTGAGCAGTTTTGCATCAACTATGCTAATGAAAAGCTCCAGCAGCAATTCAACTCGGTAGGCTGGTGTTCCAGATCTGGGGGTATTGGGGTGGGAGAACCCCCCGTCTCCCTGGGCGCATCTGCCCAGGCTATGGCTCTTCCATCTGCGGTCAGTGGGCTCGAGCTCTGCCCTAACCTCCCCTTGGTATTCTGCAGGTGCCCTAGTTTTAGGAAGGCACTCCCCAACCCTCAGAGGAGGTGTGGATTGGTCAGTGTTAAGGGAACACTTGGTCCTCGCCTTGTCTTTGATCCCTACTCCTCATGATCCTGGCCTTCTGGGCTATTTAAGCAACCTGCAAGCCAGATAGGGGAATTCTTGTGATTGGTTGGGCTGTGCCAATGTAGGTGATTGTTAGGACATTCTGGGGAAGGGTTCACATGGGGAATGAAAATCATCTAAGCTTTTCTTTTCTATAGTTATAACCATATCTTAGTGCTCAAACCTTTTCTGGTTGGTATCCTTCTTCCTCTGGGACTTGGGACTCATGTTGTTAAGAGCTCAGCAGAGATTAATATTAAGGTGTGCATGCAGTTCATGAATCTTGATCTTTAACTTTTTATCCCAGCATGTATTTAAACTGGAGCAAGAAGAATATATGAAGGAGCAGATTCCTTGGACCTTGATTGACTTTTATGATAACCAACCTTGTATTGACCTCATAGAAGCTAAGCTGGGTATCTTGGACCTGTTGGATGAAGAATGTAAGGTAAAAGTGATGATGATTTCACTGAATTGGTTCAGTCCCAGGCTTGGGTTTTGGGGCAGAGAAGATGTGAGGTCTCAGAGCTGGAATTCCATCTGTATACTAGAAGGCAATGCATTGAGCATGACTGGCAGCTGTTGCTGTGCTGGTAAACACATGCCTCTCTTGGCAGAGACTAGGTGGCATGGATTGGAATGAAGTTCTCCCCAAGTTTTCTAGGTGCCAAGACCCCACCATCTAGACAGGTGTCCCAAGAGAGTAAGGGCTTCAGAGCCCAGCATAATCTTTTCTGTGTAGGATGGCTTAAAAGTGATTGACTGAGTGGCATGTGAAATCCATAGATGTTTCCCAATCTGGCTTTTCACGGACTTCCCCTAGTGAGACAGGAGGAAGGGTGGCTTGCCAACATGGGGAGGAGAACCAGGCAACCTTGGGTTGGTACGGTGGGGAGATTTGGGCCTTGTGAGTCACCTAACTTCTTTGACCTTTGGTTCTGTGAATTAATGAGGGTTAGATGTGAAGATCTTCACAGTCTTTCCCAGTTTGGTGATTGGTTGATAAGTGAGAAATGTCACAGTGACAGAAATGCTAATAAAAAAATGAAGAAAACAAATCTTCCTCAAATCTTCCAAGGAGCCTTGGGGAGGGGATACAAGGAGACCTCAGAAAACACGATTCTTGGGATTGAAATGGAATAAGCCAGTTAGTTGCCTTTACTCTTGGTCTCCTATATCTTGCCTGTAAAGGATTGATTATGGCTTGCTGGTTTGGAAGGAGGAGATGGTTCCCTTCCAGAAGGACTCTCCTGGTTTCATTCCCTTTGAAAATGAAAAGGAAAGGTTTAATAAAATGGTAGAAGATGGAGTGAAAATATACTGAAATCTACAGCTTGCACATTTTTATCTCCTAAAGTTTGTGAGCATTTTTTCAATGACACGGACTTCATCTTCACAGTTGGTATCCAGGCTGAGAGGAAGCAGCCACACTCAGGACAGGAAGACCCAGGGTGCAAACTGTCTTCAGCAGTTGTGACAGTAGCTTGAAACCCTTGGACTTTGCAGTTATAGGTACCCCTAGTCCAGTAACTGTCTGCAGATCCCCCTGTTCTCTGTCTTCCTTATTGGGTATATGCCACCTGGGGCATCTCTATAGGAGTCTGTTGTACTTTAGAGAAGCCAGAGGAAAATAAAACTCTAAACTGTATATATGGGTGATCTCCACCTTTTGCTCTGTGGCTCATTCTGTTTGGGTTAGGTTTGTGTCCAGTTCACACTCCTGCCTCTGTAATCTGTCAAGCACCAAGAAAGTACTATACACCTGCTATATGACTTGCCTTTGGGGTAACCTTCCAGAAGAGGAAGAAGGAGTCTCCCTGCTGGCCAGAGAGAGAGGAAAAGTTGGTAGAATTGTGCTTTGAAAGAACTCGGCCTCAGGGAGTGGGGAAAGAGGTCAGAAGAGGTCTGCAGTGGTGTGGACAGGGCCCGTGTTTGGAGGCCAGCGTCCTAGAGCAGGCAGGAGCCACAGGCCAAGGGCAGCTGAGTGACAGCCGAGTAGCACTGAAAGGAGCAATTGCTAACTCAGGAAGATGACTGAGCTACATGAAACAACTGTGATTCTATTGAGGTCTCCTTGTATCCCCTCCCCAAGGCTCCTTGGAAGATTTGAGGACAGCCTGAATTTCCAGCTAATTAAGCTGGTGAGGACTAGGAGAATTTAGTTTTGGGGTAGTACCATGACTGAGATACATTTAAACTCACTGGAAGCTGAAGTTGTAGATGTGGCAGGGAAAGCAAGATGAACAGTAGTTTGAGGCACAGTATAGAATCATCCCACAATGGTTAATACGGGAACTTTCTGTGCCAGCTTTAATTGCTTTGGGAATACAAAGTGATCCAGTCTACTCTGGTGAAGTTTCTACTAATAGGTGGATTTAAAACCAACCATTGTTATTACATTTGTCAAAATCATCCAGCTGTACACTTAAAAAGGCTGAACTTTACTGATTATAAATTATATCTGATAAATCTGCTCAGCCCTTCTGGAAACATCCATGTCCCTGGGCATAAGCAGATTAAGAATTCCTGTGGAGGTGGTTGCGTTGGGCAACTTGGCACCCTGGGGATGGCCCTGTTGGCCTGGGGAGCAGCTGCAGCCTGTTCCTCCCTGGATCTGAGACCCACTCTGCAGGAGGAAAAAGAATAACTGGATCACACTGTGCAGAATTGGGTTCTGTGACCCCCGCCTGGCGGGGTAGAAAGCCAGGTAAGGATTGGACACAGAAGCAGCCACTGGGAAAGTCACTTGTCCTGGAGAAGAGGCACAGTGCCTGGCAGGGCTGGTGAGTGGGATTTCAATTAGAAATATGGAAGCCGCAGGGGTGAGTTTAAAGGGAAAGCAGGTGCTTTCCCCCAGAGCTGGGAACAGCTAAGATGCAGCAGACCTGAGGCACCTCCCGATCGTCCATCCTGGAGCCTGTGATTGGTGCCGAGGCTCTGGCCCAAAACTGCAGAGGAGGCACGGGGACCAGGGTGTTAACCGAGATTCTTTTAGGGGGAAAAGCCCCTTCAGTCACAACATCTACGCAGACCCAGACCAAACCTCAAACTACTGCTGCCCCTTGCTTATCCCAGGGGGCATGCGAGAGCATATTTGCTTGTTAATTTCTAGGTTGCTTTTAACACATCTCACTCACTCACTCACACACACCACCACCACCACCACAATAAGCAATTAGAATGCCAGGACAGGGCACGTGGTAACAGTTCCTGCTCCCTTCTAAGTCCTATTCACACTGGTCATCTCCTGCCCCCTTGTTTCCTGACTTTCAGGGCTCAGAGTGTGCTATCTCCCAGATGACATTTGTATTTGAACAGGAATTTCCTGGAGATGATACCTTGAGCACTGGAAGCAGTTCTGTTGTTGTTGTTAATTGCCCTTGAGTGGCTTCTGACTCATGGTGATCCCATGTGTGCAGAGTAGAACCGGTTCATAGAGTTTTCAAGGCAGTGACCTTTCAGATGCAGATTGAGACCTGTCTTCGGATGCACCTCTGGGTAGGTTTGAACTGTTAGCCTTTCAGTTAGTAGTCGAGTGTGTAACTGTGCCACTCATGGGAAGCAATTCCAGCAAATAAAATATAGATGCTGCTGCAATTTGGAGAGATGGAGGTCGAGGCATGCGAAGGCAGGCCTGAATTGGAGAAGCAAGCGCTCGCTGCCCTGGGTGACTGATTCTTCTGCTTGATGGAAACCACCCTAAGCCAGTGCCTTGAGAGCTGACTAGGATGGATCATCCTCGTAAAGATACTGTTGTTGCAAGATACTATTGTTGCCTAGCAGAATAGAGCCAGGATGAAGACGGTGGGAGACCTCCCACCCTCCTGCTTCCTTACCTGTGCCCAGCGTGCTCTCAGGAGACTATACTCTTCAGTAAGACCAAGGACCTTGTGTTTCTTAAGAAATGTCTCTAGAGGTCATCTTGTTCCATACTTTTGTGTACATGTTTTTGAAGCCTGTGATTGAGAGAGGTGAGATGGCTTTCTCATATTTACTCATTCATCCAACAAACTGTATGTTCAATGACTAACAAACTGACCACCTGTTCTTAAGTTACCCTCATACCACAGAGGGGGTCAGGCAAGTAAGAACTTGAAATACAGCGTAGTGATAGAAAAACTGGAAACAGAGGAGGGGCAAAGCTCCCCCAGAAGAGGCTGCTTAGGCAGAGGAGTCAGATGAGAGAGTTGTCCACAGCCTGTGATGGTGGCCAATGAGGTTAGCTGTGTCTGTCCTGAGAAGGCATTTGACTTCACCTCGAAGGCTCCGGGGATCAGTCACAGGGTGAGAGAGAAGTGGCTTCCAGGCAGTTGTCTGGGCAACAGACTAATTTGAATAATTTGAGGTGAAATAGGAGGTGAGGTAAAGGAGATGGCAAGTTTTAATTACCCCTTCTGGAGGCTTGGCTGTGAGGAGGAGGAGGAGGGGAGGGAGAGGAAAGGCAGCCAGGATTCACAAAGAGGGGAGGGAGCGAGGATCACGGTCCCTGAAGAGGCAGGAGCTGGGTGGAGGGCATGTAGCCAGGAGGAGAAGCTCTTCTTCCAATGAGAAAGACTGGAGAGGCTTAGATGGCTATGGTGCAGGTGAGTTTCTGGATGTTAGAGTAGGAATTTTCTGCATGACAAGCCCTATTTCCCCATGAAAGGGAAGATAAGGCATCCACTGAGAGGTGGCAGGGCCAGAGGCTCTAAGAGAATGGAAAAAGATAGGAATAAAACCCAAAGCCATTGCCTTCAAGTCGAATCCCACTCATAGCAACTTTAAAGGACAGAGTCGAACTGTCCCATAGGCTGTAATCTTTTGCATGAAAGTTTATAGAGGGCATCATGCACACTCTGTGTTGTGACGTTGATTGCAATCCCTACAATTTAATAGCACTCTTCCCACTCCTTCCCCCTGTTTCCAGTTTCTGTTCACATCCTTCTTTCCTATCCCTTTTTGCCTTCTGAGCTTTATCCTTGGGCAAAAGCTGCTTTTTTTTTTTTTAATAAATCTCTTGTGGGAGATTGTTCCAAGGAATATGTACCTCCATGATGTTATTGTTCACCTTATAAACCAAATGCGCGGCGGTTAAGTCAGATCCGACTCATAGTGACCCCTCCTTGGGTTTCCAAGACACTATTACTACGGAAGTAGATTGCCCATCCTTCCTTCCAAGGAGTGGCTGGTAGGTTTGAACCGCCAGCCTGCTGGTTAGCAGTCAAGTGGCTTAGGTCCTGTGTCACCAGAGCTCCTTGTTCACCTTATAGGACTCTCTATTGATTGGCTGAAAGTTGAGTCACAGGGGTGAGCTCGGTTCTAGCCTTGAAGATGACTAAGGCTTGAAGATTCCACTGTCAGACCAGAAAACAAACCCACTGCCACTGAGTCGATTCCAACTCCTAGCGACCCCCATTGGGTTTCTGAGGTGGTAAATCTTTATGGAAGTAGATTGCTTTGTCTTCCTTC